ATATATATATACTTAGAGTGGTGTGCGGAGTGGGATCGCATAGGACTAACTTGACAATCGCAAGAGATGTGCGTGCCAAACTAGAATGTGGTTGCGATGTCTGGTCTCTGTGAGGCTAACTCCAAGTTTCCATAGCCACTGTCTCCGGACATTGGACAACGAAGACTTGAATCGGTCGATTCACAGATAAACCAGAATGTTGGTATTCAGCTGTGACATTTGTCTACTCAAGCAGGGCGATCCACCTTCTCGGGAAAAGGTTGCTGTGAGTGACGCATCCTTTAGGAGGAATGCAAACCTTTAGATAGTCAAGACTGTCTGTAAGATTAGAAAACTTCGGGGATAGGATCGCCCAATCCACCCTTCACAGAATCTTTTTCGCTCGGCTGGTAATATTGTAATAAAATACCTTGTAGTTAGAAACAAACTATATTTGGTGAAATTTCTATGAAATCTGGACGAGTGCATCTATCCAAGCTGAACAAGTGACTCCATATCCCTTCCCTCGAAAAGGGGTTTTTCTCCGCATGCAACATCACTGCTTATGTGCTCGACTGGCATCTAATACGGATTCGTCTGTTAACCGTAGCTGAACTGTTAAACGATCGCATGTAATTGTGGTTCATGTGCAGTTGTGTGATAGCCTATGAACTGGAACGGATAAGACCGGCGCAGATATATGCGACAATGATTGCAGTGCATGGGAGTTAGAGCACGTTTGTGAGACCACGGTTGGTTGAGCATCGACCAAGAGTTCTATCACGTAGCCGTGTTTATGATCACAATGACAATTTGAACGCCTGTTATTCACGGCCATATGATGGTTGGGATAATGATACGGTACCCAGGTCGACCTAGATGTAACAATTACGATTCACCATCCGAATGCCTTCAGATGAAAAGCATTGTGCAAAGGCAGTGAATTTCGCGAAAACTAGCCAAAGCTTTGCAAGACAGGCAGGTAGTTGTATTCAATCAACATCTCACCCTTCACATGAAGCCCATCTATACCGAAAAAATCGTTCAGCTACACACCCTTCCGGTGCCTAGCTGCCTTGCCACTCGGAGGAAGCACGAGGGCTGGAATACTGTCAGGTTTTCCAAGCCTGGACGTGGGAATTCGAGAGGCGGAGGTCAATTTCGAACCACGAACCTTCCGGTCAGTAAATTCGTGCTCTAACCACTGAGCCATCTCGCCAACTCAGATAAAAGCAACCGAAATGTCATACAGTTTAACCGAACAATAGCTCGTGCCTTGAACACAGACAATTCTAATTCAAAACATCGTGTGCATTCAACCCTTTGTCATTGTCTTAGAAATTATTATGAATTTGTTTCAAAATTGCCAGTCTTCCTTTCGACGGGAGGTCTATGGCCAACAGGGTAGCATGAATCTCTGTAAAGAGACTCACCTCAGTATTGGTGGATTCACAGATAGCAGCTGGAGCACTGCTGCATGTGCCATGCGAATCCGTAGTGACAACAATGGCATCAGGAAACAGGGATTCCAGGGATAGCTGCTGGTGTCTGGTGTTGGTGATACATGGATCCAAGAGTTGAATATCGCCCTTCTCATGCTGTAGCCTGAGAATGTGCTCAAAGAGGCAGAGTATAAAAAAGCTTACCTTGATGCCACAGTTTCGGTAATCTTTTGTTGCAGAGTGGAGGTCACCTTCAGAGCATTTGTGAGCTTTGGTGTGCTCATTTTAGGGACAAGATTAGCCGCTTCACGTAACTGAACCAAGGTAGAAGCGTCATATAACAACGTACCAGTCGTTCGAAGACTGAGTCAGCGTCAAGCATCTTTTGTCCAGCAACAAGGAGACGACTAGACCTCACAAACGCAAACAGGACGAACAGGGGGCGATAAATTGTTTCGTCCCAGATCTAATGGGAGTTGAATTTTAAGTGCGTTGCACAAAGTAATCAGATGAGTGGCTATGAAAGAAAAAAATCTACACATTAAAATCTGGAGCTGTGTTGGTATCATCATCATCATCATCATCATCATCATCATCATCATCATCATCATCATCATCATC